GTGTAAAGCATAAAATACAGTCTATTCTATTGGATGAATGTTATGAAGTGGTTGAGAACTTCCCAGATTTTTCAAAGAAGTCGAAAATTCCCTTAAAATATTCGTAACTAATTTGTGCAGAAAAAACACTGTGCGTTCATATTTATAAGCTTCAGATTGACCAATAAAACCAAATCGATAGAAAACAATTTTTAGAAACGTGTCAAGAATGAAGGCCACCGAAGACATTTATATACAGTTACGTTTTGCATTTTTTCAATTTGACAAGTAACTTTTTATCACTTCGTCGTTTCCCAGGTGACCTGTAAATCTGAGTTCTCAAAGTTATATTTTGAGAGTACAGCTTTGCACCAGCTACGAATCTGAGATCATTCAATACCTAATCCACAATAGTCACATAATTTATACATTTACAAATGTGTGAAACAAAAATAGCAGAATCTGTTGGGGTAGCCATCTACTAAATTTTGACTACATAGTTATTAGATGCAGGATTATGCAGTTTGTGGCTTTTATGGCTTGTGTCAGTCAAATGTTTCAAGAAATAGGGTAAATTTCTCTTATATTCATTTAATAATGGCCTTTTCTCAGAAAAAGAGTAGTCGAGCCTACCACTTTATCGAGGTGGTTGAATGAGGGATATTTTCATTGAGATAATTACTTGAAGTATGTCATGAAAGTCAGAAATATTTCACGCATGATTAGTTTAATGATACAACCTTTAAAATGTGAACAAGTAATATGTAGCTGTTTCCAACAAATGATATATCATGATTATCATTCTTCTTTTCCAAAGCTAATAAACCATTGAAGAACAAAACTTACACACAATTTCTTGTTGCAATATCTTCATGTATTAAGTTGATGCTGTGTAAGTAATCTACTGCGCTGAGAATTTGCAAACCCATATTAATCAACTGTGTGGCAGTGAGAATCTAAAAGAAATACATGAGGGGTGATACTAACGATCAAACAATATCAAATTATGTTAAAAAGAAGATAACTAAGCATAATTACAGTCTCAACGTATGCCATGATCATATTTACTTATGACCAAATGTTTTTCAAGATTTATTAACGCGTTCTTGACGTTTATCTGAATGAGGTAATATTTTTCTTGGGATTCTATTCAACATATGTTGAGTACACCGTGATTGTATTTCCTTTTTTATGCCGATTCTTATTTTGTGAATACCTTCATCTTGAAAGCACTTCAAACGAAAGTTAGTGAAAAGTTCTGTTATGTCATAACCATAGCGTTGTGATAAGCAACCAAATGACGTTTCAACAAATACTGGTAGCCAGTAAGTTCAGGAGATTACCATAAAACGTATTTGTAATTTTATTAGATATTCCTTTTCACACAACCAAGAGACTGTGGTTTTTCAATGATACACATGTTGTTAAGTGGGGTCTGCTACTGAAAAGAATGGATTTAAGTAGTATACACTTAAATGTTTTTGGAAAAACCCTAGACAACAAACGATCGATGGGTTACAGTCCCGGACGGAAATAATTTCACAAATTGGAAGTATCTAGACCATAAGGTAGGTAGAAGAAGAACATGAGTTTTCTTTGCAAAATAAACTTTCCTTGTCGATTATAATATTGTGCAAAACTGACTATAATTTCTCTGATGAACAGTCGTTCATGGTATTAGTTGGTGTCCTTTCATTCGTTAAACTGTTTGCAAGGTCAGAACACCATATCAGCTAGGGATAAAATGGTTGAACGTAAATTACTTATTATTATATCGATACTGTTTAAGCTTTTAACACAAATCATGGACGCATATCCTTCTCCTAGTTACTTCTGCCTGTCCAGAAAATCATGAAACCTGGAAAAGATTTAAGTCACTGCTAAGAATTTGAATGCAATTCTTTTAACTCTGTCGGTTTCAGGCTTATATCGTATTACTGACCAAAGAACATCTGTGATTGTAAATCTGATTTACATGCTTAGATGCTGACCATTTCATGTGAATAAGACCTATTCTACAAATCTAAAGCTTTGTTGTCTTTTGTAAGTAAAACACTATTAAAAGGAATTATTGCTTTGATTTATCATACTGAGTCGTCAGTATTTCCAACTCTATAAGTGATCAAAACTGATTTATGTACTGTACGATCCTAATACTTTGCAGTACATAACTCAAATTAAAGGAAACAGAGGTTAAAGGATCAATCTTCAAAAATATTATTCACCACAATCACTTCTTAACCAGGTCAAATAGAGTAATGTATGAAATTGAGTATCCAATTTCAGGATAATGTGAATCTAATACTGGACAAAAGCGTCACTTGATGAAGTTGAATTACAAACCAGTTTGCGGACTACTTTAAAGTCATCAATGACTTTTATAAAAATAGCAGGGGATTGATTTTCTTAAACTACTAAGAACATTTCCTTTACATTGTTGGAAAAAACTAACACTAACTGAAAACATATTGGCTGGAAGTGGTAACCTTCAATAGAAAAAAGGAATATGATGATATTGTTAACCCCTTAGAAAATAACAGGCTGTGGCTTTTCTGACATTTTATTTCTGAGTTAACTAGACTTACTTTTCATCACTGGAAAGCGTCCAGACTACAGTTAATTGCAAGATTCGTAGCACAAATTCAGAACCTTCAAATGAAATTTTACTACTCACTTATTATGCATGAAACTATTATATGGTTCGCCTGAAATTTTCAATCAGTTCAACAGTGTGAAGAGGCAAAAATTAGACGAAATAAAAAGCAGTAATTACCACTTTGATCAATAGAAACTATTTCACACACGACAAGAAAAATGAAACGTCAGCATACATTAACATATTCACATCAAATAGTGCAAACTTTTCGTTTTGTACCCGTAAATTTCTTGGATCTAAGATAAGCAAAATTAACCGCTAAGCCATCGATTTCAGTCATAAATTTGCATAATAAGACAAGAAAACTTAGATGGTTTCAAAAGTATGGTTTATTTATGCAGTACATTTCGAACAATATGAATGCTAATCATATTGTGAAAGATTTTTGTGTAGCGATATAAAAGTCAACTCAGACTAAGTCAAACAATTCAGACAATAAGAATAAAATGAGGAAAACAGTTAGAGCAAAGTGTTCCCATCGCACCCTTAGTATAAAAATAAAATAGAGTTTACCCAGTTACAGCGAGTGTAAGAATGGAATCTTTTTGAACATATAAGGCAATTATAAGCAAGTATGAACAGTGTTTTATTATTATCCTTCATAATTATCAATTTCATTAGAGATGAAAAACTTTAACTATCATTTTAAAACCACACTTAGATTACCATCTATGTGGTTGCATAAGAAAACCCTTTTCGTTAAGAAAATATAGGTTTCAGTGTCAGCTGCTTTTTTGAAGTATCCATTATGTTCTAGCGTCTTATTTGGCTTCATTCATTTCAGTAACTCCTGACTGCATTTCGTTAGACAGCTGAGAAAACTTATTCTAATCACCATTATCTTAATCATTTTATTTCACGCATCATCAATTTTAGCTCCCGATCCAAAATATCTTGACAACTTAATGCTCTGTCAGACTGTTAAAACTAGACTCCAAAGATATTGCGCAACATTCAGTTAAATGGACTTTTCCGATTACATGATGCAGTTTTCTAAAAAAATTATTACTACTCCAACATAATAATGATGAATCTTCTTAAATGCAGTGATTAGGAGGTGAATTTACAATGTGCTTGAAAACTATTGTTGATACATGAAGTTTAGAATTCTTTTTAAAGAAACATATGTAGTATGCTTTGAAAGCATATTCTTATTTCAGACTACGATGTCTCAAATCCGTACTAACCGGAGAATCCCCACCAAATTTGATGAATTTTGTTTAAAGGAGTTAAATGACAGGTCATTGAACAAAATGGTGATCATTATTTTTTTGAAAATAGGCAATAGTTTAGTGAATAAGTAACAAATATTAAAATAAAGTAAAAGGACATAGAACTCTTCACTAAATGGAGTCATTTGCTCTCAAAGTCGAACTGAAAATCTTCACATCAAGTAGATTGTTTAAAGCAACAGAAGTTCCACTTTTATAATAAAAGCGGAAATCATCTTGCCACCTTTTCTCAATAACTTGCAATTAACTTGGTAGAAAACTGCATGAGTAAAACATAATTGATATTGAAGTTATTTGATTAGTGGTATTTAGTAGCAAGGATTATCATACTCCTTTCTTCCTGTGAAAGTCTCGTCAGCTGAATGCAATTAGGTTTTATTGAGTGGTGAAATTCCCAATGAGACTGTATACAAGCACCCATTACTTCCAACGCCAGATGGTTACTCACTAGACTGTTGAGCCACAAGAGCCACACCTTGCGTAACGGGTATCATTTTTGCTAATTTCTGCCCAAATATTTCCTTTGAGGCAATATTGAGGCATCCATTAAAGGAGTATATATGCTCAGAGTAATCGAAAAGTTTGGTCGAGTGTAATAATTAACGGTAAACTGCAAGTAGCAATAAGATGGTCAGTTTATACCCTGAGGATTAGGGTAATACGCGATTTCTCGTGTCTGTATCTGCATCGTGTATAATGCAACTGGAATTTTATTCTGACACACACTGATAGTATATGGTAATGCTGGCGTATTCACAAGCAAAACCATTGGTATCTCAAACGAGAAAAATTGTTGCTATTATAGATACCAGTAAGATGTATGTTCACTAAAAGGAATTCGGAAGGCTACAACCTCAACAACAGTGGGATATCCTTTATAGGTTTGCAGCAGTGAAAACAAAGTTTTCCTTTTTCTCTAATCATGGAAGCATAACCATCAACATTGTCTTCTATGGTTAACATATCTCGGAACAAACACTTGTAATAGAAAGTGTGGTATCCGCGAAATTGTGACTTTACACTTATTTTCTGGTGGTTGTTTAACGGAAATATATGATTATCAAGTGACAACATGAATTTTATTTGATTAGAGGCAACCAATAGGAAGTCCTGGATCTCGGTTTTGGGATTGTTGGTACACATCAGCGAGGCGTGTCTGCGACCTCGTGGAAACTTGTGCCTCTTGAGAAGCAAGTTACTGTTTCCCGCTATAAGATTTCGTACACTTATAAAACCATTCGAAACGACATTAAGAGACATAATTTTGTCAAAATAGAAATTAAAAATAAGTTTGATGAAAAAAAACTTGACTTGGGAGACTAAACTACACACGAAACAGGTGAGCGAATTCTTCCTCGGATCAAGACCACACGTTTTCAGGAATTCCACAGACTTCTATCCTTATTGTCGAAGAGTCTAAAAAGGATTTAACACGATATCATTAAATATATCATGTTATAGTGTCTACCTTTTGAAAGCTGTCCAGCTAGAAAGGTATGCTGAACAACTTCTAGCTTCTGTTTGAGGAAAACATACCACCTCAACAAATGTTTGGATACATCTAAGAATGATATTAAGGTTCAAGTGACTAAAATCTTAACACGACAACTATTCAATGCATTATGTATATATATATATATATATATATATATATATATATGATAAAACTATAGTAGTGATAATCGAGTGGACTTAAGCGCAACAATAAGTAAGTAGTCGTTTCTTACAGTTTTCAGTAAACAAATAAAAAAACCTCAGCAGTTTTGGACTCAAGCGATATTGAAGAATTTATCTAGATTTTCCACTCTCTTTTTCAGCCTAAAGTAGAAGTATATACGATAATAATATTTATCTCTGTCACTTCATGAAATTAAATCACCTGAACTTTAATAAGACAAATAAGTTTTTATTGCCCATGAATACTTCCATAGACACCGGTAGAAAGGATTTAGAATTACAACTCTGACGTTTAAGAAGGACATTAAATTGATAACACTGAATAGTAGGTGATCTCAAGATCTTAGAGTACGAGGCTTGAAAGTTGAGTAATACAACAACAAATAAACAG